GTAACAAGAGTAACAGGTATCTTTCTGTTCCTTTGCATTATTTAAAAATACTCCCATGTATGTTAGGACTGACAAGAGAATGGCACAACATATGAAAAACTGCTGTTAAAACCCTTCAGAAGTAAAATTGCTAAGAAAAATTTATACAAAACACCACTTGAATTACCTTGTTTCTATTCCCAACATGGCTACCTACAAGAAGTGGCTTTTTGGCATTACTTATGCAGTGTTATTTTGTCACCTCATTACAAAAAAGTTACTTCTTTCATGTACCTACATGATTTGTAGGTATTTACATTCAAGTCCTGGTAGAGAGGTGCACATTTATGGGGAAGTTGTGAATGGATAACATTTTCTTTTAACAATGAGTGTGTGAATACTTGGATTTAGGTTAATACGGTGCATTTGTCAACAACTGGCCATTTGCAGAATCCCAGTATACATTATATTGTATATTATGATATATATGTGTGATCCCAATTTTCTGGATGTTTCCAGTAAAGGCAACATGAGCAACTGGGAATAAGATGATTGATTGATTGATTGATTGATTGAATGTAGTTATGGTCTTTCTTACTTCTAAAGATCTGAAGGTGACACACATGGTACTCCTTCCCATTTTTCTTTTCATGACAACATTGTGAGGCAAGTTAAAGTATGAGAGAGAGATTGGCTGAAGATCATCCATTGCTAGTTATAGCTGAGTGGGCATTTCAATGTGGGTGTCCCCCATCCCAATCTAGCAGTCTAGCCACTCCACTCAGGAAAAGTCAAGTGGGACCATCCAAGTGTTGCTGAACTGCAGCTCCCAGTACTCTTCATCATTGGTTGTGCTAGCTGGGGTCTCTGGGACTGTTAGTCCAGCAACATTTATCTGGAGGTTTGCACAACTACAACCCTTATACTACATTATGGAATCTCGAGGCAGCTCTAAATAGTCTATAGGACACCTCTGTAGTAACTTCTTGCCCTACTGATTCCCAACTTGATGAATTTATATGAAGCTGTAACTCAATATTGTCTTCTCTCATTGGCAGCATCTCTCCCAGTGTTTTAGTCTTAGCCAAGCCTTACCACCTGAGATCTTCTTAGTAGACATGGTGGTGGCCCTTTGCTTAGCTGGACCCCTTTACATGCAAAGCATGTGACCTATTGTTGGACTGTGCCTTCACTGAACTCTTTCTGTGCTCTCTGAACTGTCCAGAATGCTCGCTTGTTTGCTTTTTTTCTCTTTCCTCCTTGATTCCTGATGCTAGCAGAGAAATATATATAGATACAGATGTGGGCGTTCTAAGTGCACTGAAGGCACCATATCCTTTTTGAACTTGGATACTAACAGTCAAACCTGGGTAGTATTTAGATGGTGGACTGCCAAGGTTTACCATGTATTTCACAAGAAGGCAGTGATAAGCCACCTCTGAGAACTCCTTGCCAAAGAACACCTCAGGAAATTTATAAGGTCACCATATGTCAGTAGGCATCTTGAAAGCACATGCACCCAGGGATGTGGGACTTTAGAATTGCCTATGTGCTTGTGCAATTCATGGTAATGCTCTGTGGGCATAGGAGGTTCCTTATGGGTTGAGGACATTCTGCAATGGTTATGTATCCCATTCTGTGACATGCCAGTGCAGCTGATGGCTTTACAGAACTAAATGCACAAGAATCTGAATCTGAATTGGTAAGACCATAGGATCAGCTAAGTGTGTTGACAATTCCCTTGGGGACAGGTGATCTTTTAATAATGTATAACTTGGCAGGGGGGCTGCTTTCATTGTTTTCTTTTTTCCTTGTCTGGGGTGCATGGATCAGTAACTTCATATATACAGCAACTTCCAAGAGTGGACTGACATGCACTTGAGCTGTTACTTGCAGATGACAAAGGGGTTATTCAGATGGTGAAAATAATTCAAGATGAATCCGGGTTGAATCTCCGTTGCCCACATGCATCCTGAATGTACCCAATTAAGTTTTTTTGGGGGAGGGGACCACCAAAAACCCCACTTAACCCAGGATAATTGATACCATCCCCCCCGCCCAGTTTTTTTAAAAAATTAGCATTATTGGCTGTGTGAACAACTGATGCAAATAGACCCGGGATTAAACTCTGCATGCCTTGAACACATTCAAATACATTTGCATTGTCAACTCTAAGTTTATTTGAGTGCTGGCACATGTGAGCAGTCGAACTCACAGAGATACAGAGATGCAGTTCCACAGTGTGAATAACAAACCCGGAATGCGTGAGTGAGGTTATTCGTATTGTTCCACTAAAAAAAAAAGAGACATGTGAATGAGCCCAAAGATATGTTCTTCCTGACTGGCAAAAGTCAGACCACATGGTGTATTTAGATTTTTAAACTCATGGCAGGGTAGCTTTTATATGGTATGTGTGTTTTAGTTATATTTTTAACTTTTGTATGTTTTTAATGTTGATGTTATACTGTTTTAACTGGATTATTTTAATTGGTTTTTTTTAATTGTAAAGTTTTAAAAGTGTTTTTATCTTGTGAGCAGCCTTTTGGGGAGAAAGGTGGCGTAAAAATGAAATAAAATAAAATAAATAGATCAAAAGCAACATAAATGGCTTGTGAATGAGCTAGGAAATGCTTTTTCTTCTGTGAGAGACAGTGGACTGTCTCTTCTCTGGGAGTCCCAGTTAGGACTACAGTGTGCCTTGGGATTTCATTGCTCCCTGCCTCCAATAAAAACATCATTTTCAGTGGCAACATGGTGAGGTTGTATTTTCAATTTGAAGTTGACCTGCAAGAGGCTGGGGAAATGCATGTTGCATTTTTGAAGCGTGCTCAGAAACCAGCTGCTCCAAAGAGCTGCAGCCAGATTGTTAGTAGTGGCTGGTACAGAAAACACGATTCCTTTCTTACAATAGCTCCATTGGCTGCTGGTCCATTTCTGGGCACAATTCAAGATCCCGGTGATAACCTATAGAGCCCTATACAGCTCAGGTCCTGGCTATCTGAAGGATCATGTCTTTCCTTATGAGTCTGCCTGAGCTCTCGGGTCATTCTGTCATCGTTTTCTTTTAGGGGAACGATGTGAATAACCTCACTCATACATTCCAGATGTGTTATTCCCATTATGGAACTACATCTCAGTGTATCTCTGTGCATATCTGTGAGTTCAGTGCCAGCAGTGAATAAGTAAATAGTCGATAATATATTCAAAATGCGTTCAAAGCATATAGAGTTTAATCCTGGCTCTATTTGCATCACTTATTCACACTGCCGATGATGCAAATCTTTTTTAAAAACTCAGGTGGGAAAATGGTATTGATTATCACGGGTTAAGTGGTTACCTGTGAACAGCAGAAGGGTTATTCACACTGTGAAAATAATCCAGGATGAAACCGGGTTAAATCTCCATTGTTCACATGCATCCCAAATGCACTCAATTAAGTTGGGGGGGGCTGCCAAGACCCCCCACTTAATCTGGGATAATAGCAATAGCAATATAGCAGTACATTTCTATACTGCTCATCAGTGCACACAACAACTTTAATGCTTAAGCACTCTCTAAGTGGTTTACAAGCCAATTGCCCCCAACAATCTGGGTACTCAGAAGGATGCAAGCCTGAGTGGAATCTGAGCTCCTTGGCTGGGATTGAACTTGCAACCTTATGGTATGTGAGTGTGTGGCTGCAGTACAGGCATTTAACCATTGCACCATCAGGGCTCTTTATAATAATAGATATTGGGTCCCCCCCCCGAGTTTTTTTTTAAAAAAGATCCACATTGTTGGTAGTGTGAATAACCAATGCGAATAGTCCTGGAATAAAATGTTGCATACCCAAAAAAGGGTTTCAAATGCATTAGCATTGTTGACTCCATGTTTATTCAAATGCTTGCATGGGAGAGCAACTGAACTTGTAGAGATGCACATCAATACAGTTCTATAGTCTAAGTAACAAACCTGGAATGCATGAGTGAGATGATATGCATCATCTTGTTAAAAAATATGACATCTGAATGACCCCCAGAGATTCAACCCAGATTCATCCTGGATTATTTTCACCATCTGAATAACCCCATGAGCTTCAGAGGAGGCACTTTTCTCAGTCCCTGATTTGGTGGGAATGCAGGAGACGGCCTTCTTCGTTGTCTTCCTACACTCTGGAATTCCTGTACTAGAAAAGCTAGGCCAGCTCTCTCTCTGATATCTTTCTGCCATCAGGTGGACTTTTCTATGCCAGAAGACATTTGGAAAATGATTGTTTTATATACAGTTGGCCCTCTATGTCCACAGATTTTTAAAAATCCATTGATTCAATCATCCCGGCTTGAAAATATTGAAGAAAAAATAAATTCTAAAAAGCAAAACTTGATTTTGCCATTTTATATAAGGAACACCATTTTACTTTGTTGTTGTGTGCCTTTAATAATAATAATAATAATAATAATAATAATAAATTTATTTGTATCCCGCCTCTCTGTCAGACAATCGAGGCGGCTTACAGCATTAAAACTCCATACAATGTAAAATACAGTCCAAAACCCACAAACCCTCCCACCCCTTAAAACAGAATTAAACTAATGATAGGATTAAAACATAATACTAAAAACAGTTTAAATTATATAAAAACCTAATTGGCGGTAATAGACTGAACAAGGACAACAGGCCAAGTAGGGATAATAGGACTCCGGAGGCCAGGAAAGGCCTGCTGGAAAAGATCTGTCTTCACAGCTGTTTTGAAGCTGTTTAGGTTGGTAATCTGGCAGGCCATTCCATAATCTGGGAGTGGTAGCCGAAAAAGTCCTCTGGGAGGTCGTTGACAGCCTAGTTTTTATTGGCTGCAACAAATTCCTCCCACAGGACCAGAGTGTGTGGGGAGGATTATATGGGAGTCATTTCTGTCTTATGGAGACCCTAAGGTCCCCCCATCACAGGGTTTTCTTAGTAAGATTTGTTCAGAAGGGGTTTGCCATTGCCTTCCCCTAAGGCTGAGAGAGTGTGACTTGCCCAAGGTCACCCAGTAGGTTTTATGGCTGAGCTGGGAATTGAACCCTGGTCTCCAGAGTTGTAGTCCAGCACTCAAACCACTATGCCATGCTGGCTCTCCCATTGGGACTTAAACATCCATGGATTTTGGTATCCGCAGGGTTTCCTGAACCCAACCTCAGCAGATATCAAGAACCCAATGTAGTATGGGCTTAATAAAACAATGCTGTATCATTTTTAATCAGTGCTTTTAAATAAATGCTTTACAGTATATAGCTTTAATATTATAGTTGTTTTAATATTGCTTCAATCTTAACTTTTTGTATCTTTTTAATTATATGCTGTTTACTTGTGTCTCTTTTTATTCTGCAAGCTGCCTTGAGTCCCACTTTGGGGAGAAAGTAGGATATAAATGAAGCAACCGACTGGCTGGTTTATTAATTTAAAAGATCCTAGCCAGCTTCTCCATGTAGCAGGGGTGGACAGAGTGAAGGCAGCAGGCTGTGAACTCCCCTGGGGTAAAAAAACAAACCCTCTCCCAAATGCCCTTAAATTACCTCTAGGGGTTGTGGAGGGTGTTTCTGCCATGTTTGGTTCCTCCCCCAGGATTTGGGGGGAAATTGTGATTCCCCCCCCCCAAAAGGTTTTTGTTCTAAAATAACTACAGGAGTGGGTGGAAGGCATTTCTACCACATTTTGGGGTGCATATGGCTGGGTGGGTGGACCACTTTAGGTCCCAGAGAAGTCTTTTTTTGAAACAGAAAGTGTTTCAAAAAGTGTTAAAAAGTGTTCTTTAAAAAGATGGCTTCTTTTGGGCCTAAAAGGATCCAAGAAGGTCCAGGAACATGGTGGAAATGCCTCCTATTCTCCTCTACAGAGCATTTAGACTAGAGGCAACAAACAAACACTTTGGTGGGCAAATTTTTCATGCAGGTAGATGTGATGGAGGGGTGCAGCCCTCTAAGGTCTCCCCAGGGAACCAATGCAACCCTCTAGCAGCCTTTCATAATTGCTCACTCCTTTACAGGAAGATGGGAACAGTTTTTCTCAGAACTGTATTTTGAACTACAGCTGCTAGGATCCCCAATCTACTGTGGCCAGGGTGGCTGTGCAATTCTGGGAGTTGTAGTTTTAAAAAAGGAATATTAAGTACTGGTCCCCTGTAGGATGCTTAAAACTGCTGCTGATTTTAGAAGCAATAAAAATATATATTGCACCAAGCTCTCACTTGTTGTATGTCTTCAAATCATTTCCTACTTATGGCAAACCTAAGGCGAACCTATCACAGGGTTTTCTTGGCAAGTTTCTTCAGAGGGGTTTGCAGTTGGTATCCTCTGAGGTTGAGAGAGTGTGACTTGCCCAAGGTCACCCAGCACGTTTTCATGGCGGAGCAGAGATTCAAACCCTGTTCTCCAAAGTCATAGTGAAATATTCAAACCACTACACCATGATGGCTCCCAAGCTATCAATTGCAGAGTGCAAAATCTTTGTAGTCATATAGGTACATCTTGTGGCAATTCTTATGGTATTTTTATTTGTTTATTTTTAACAACAGTTTTAATTCTGATATGTACAATAATTCTTTCTTCCTATATAGATATTGTAACTTATTTCTCCCTCCCTTCTGCCCTCCCCTCCCCAAATCCTTAAGTCAAGAACCTTAAATCTGAATTGTCATTCAAATAGTTTAATGTTGTTTATATATTAATCATAAGCATCAATGCCTGTTTTTCCATAATCACTCTTGATCCAAAGGAGGCTTAACTCCAGTGTTGTCTTGAGTAATATAAACTATAAATGACTTCCAATTACTCTCAAACATATCTTATTTTATGTCCATTCTTGCTACCCTTACTTTGTATGTTAATTTTTCTGAAAGTTATGGACTGTATCCTCTTTAACCACTTTTGTATCAAGATATTTTCTAGTATTTTCCATGCTTGCTATTTCTAGCCCTGCAGCGCTTAACTTTTTAGATTGCTTTTAGGCAAGTTTGCATTTTCACTTTCAAATATAGAAATTTGAAGCATTGCAAAACGCAGAACATTCAAGAAAAATATAGGACATTACAAAATAAAAGCTAAAAATGCTAACATAAATGTGAATTCATGCTTCTTAATCATGTTCAAAGTGGAGGACATTTTGAAATTCCTCCTGGACAGAAGATTGAAATGCAGGGCATGCCCTGGAAAAGGAGGACATTGGTCAACCTGATAATACATGGTACCCTTCTAAAGTGGTCTTTTTGGCCCTCATTTGACTTGTGCATCCTAATACATCCTCCCGGAATCTACACACTCTATGACAAGTTAGCCACATATTATTCCAATCACCTATTTTGCCACAACATTGCCAACACAATTTTGACACTTCATTATATTGATCTTATGGAGTTTGAGTAGATAGTAATACCATTTATGAATAGTTGTAATGTATTTTCTCTGACTTGGTTAGATATTGCTGTATAAGGTGGAGCTTTTCAAATTGGGTCCCATTTTTTTCAGTTTTTTAAAATCTCCAGATCTGACTCTCAAACAAGTCTCATCCCTTTCGATTTACCACATTTTGCCTTTTGTATTATTTGATATAGTTTTGAAACTTGTCCTTCTGTTTTGTTTATGCTTACAATATATATGTTTCAAACAGAGTTAAAGCTCTTGGGGATGGGGGACTGTCTATGCTATTTAATTTTACCTGGTAGAAAGCTCTTTGTGAATGAAATAAAGCGAATGCACACCACTGGTTGGCATGCCTTTTCTGAAAAAGTATCAGTCAGATAGCTGGGCTTTCCTTGGAGTAAGCCTTTCTTTTTCCTCAGTTTATGTCGGGAGGGGGGACATGTCTGAACTGACAGGAAGAACTGGCTTACGGTCTTCTGGATTTGCAAGAAGGACAAGCTATCTCCACAAATGGCATCCACAATAGGCCGTTCCTTGCAGCATTAGACACACTCCCTCCTCCCATACCATCCCTGGTCTAGGATGACCAGATGTCCTCCTTTTCCAGGACATGTCCTACATTCCAACCTTCTGACCAGGAGGAATTTCAAAATGTCTTCTGATTTACTGTTGCTGTTGTTGTTGTTATATGTATTTATATCCTGCCCTCCTCCCAGTACAGGGACTCAAGGCGGCTAACAAAATTTAAAACACTCTAAAGTTAAAACAGTATGACATGTTAAAAATACAAAGTTTAAAAAACAATTAAACAATTCATGTGATTAAAACATTACATTATTAAAATTTAGAATTTAAAACTCATTGAAACAAAAACAAAACAGCACCCGTGTCAGTATGCGAAAGAAAGCCTGGTGGCATATAAATGTTTTTATCTACTGTCAAAAAGAAAGCAAAGATGGAGCCATCTGGACCTTTCTAGGGAGGGAGTTCCAGAGCTTAAGAGCAGCCACCGAGAAGGCCTTCTCTCTTCTTCCTACCAAACGCGCCTGAGAAGGTAATGGGACAGAGAGAAGGGCCTCTCCAAATGATCTCAAGACTCTAGTGGACTCGTAAAGGGAGATATGGTTCTTCAAATAACCTGGACCCAAGCCATATAGGGTTTAATAGGTCAAGACCAGCATTTTGAATTGTGCCCGAAAACAGACTGGCAGCCAACGGAGCTGTTGCAACAAGGGAGTTGTATGTTCCTTGTAGTCAGCTCCAATTAACAGACTAGCTGCAGCTATTTGAGCCAGTTGAAGTTTCTGAGCACTTTTCAAAGGCAGCCCCATGTAGAGCGCATTACAGTAATCCAAATGGGATGTAACCAAGACAGCCAGATCTGACTTCTCCAGGAATGGGGGCACTTGGCGCACAAGTTTTAGCTGTGCAAAAGCACTCCTGGTCATTGCTAATACCTGGTCTTCCAGGCTCAGTGCTGAATCCAGAAGTACCCCCAAACTACGAACCTGAGTTTTCAGCGGGAGTGTAACCCCATCTAACACAGGCTGAATCCCTATTCCCAGATCTGTCTTTCGACTGACCAGGAGCACCTCAGTCTTGTCTGGATTAAGCCTCAATTTGTTTGCCCTTATCCAGTCCATTACAGCAGCCAGACACTGGTTTAGGACAGAAACAGCTTCCTTGGAATTGGGTGGAAATGAGTGATAGAGCTGGGTATCATCAGTGTATACATTACACATTACTCCAAAACTCTGGACAACATCTCCCAGCGGTTTCATGTAGATGTTAGGGGACATAGATGCATAGGGGACAAAACTGAGCCCTGTGGGACCCCACAGGCCAATGGCAAAGGAGTTGAACAGGTATCCCCCAGCAGCATTTTCTGAGAGCAGCCCTCCAGGAAAGAATGGAGCCACTGTAGAACAGTACCTCCAAGCCCCATCCTAGAGAGGCAACTCAGAAGGATACCATGGTTGATGGTATCGAAAGCCACAGAGAGGTCCAGCAAAACCAACAGGGACACACTCTCCCTGTCCAATTCCCTGTGTAGGTCATCCACCAAGGCCACCAAAGCTGCTTCTGTCCCATAACCAGGCCTAAAACCACACTGACATGGATCTAGATAATTTGTCTCATCCAGGAATGCCGGGACTTGGGAAGCCACCACATGCTCCAGCACCTTTGAGCATGGCTACAAAACAGAGGCCCGTTGAGTAGCACCATATTTGTGTTCCCCTTTGAGAAATGTGTCTATATGGCAGCCTGTACTCACTGCAATAGGATGGATCCTCCTAAAGTTCTTTTTCTCTAAGAGCAGCGGCAGACAAGACTGGCACCCAGAACTCAGGATGCATTTGTTTCTCAGAGGGGAAAAGGACAGGAAACATGTTAAGCAATAGGCTGCTTGAGGACACAGTGCAAATGTTGAAAAGGTTATTTTCCTTAATTTGAGCACAATGGACAAATGAAAGGAACCATTCAAATGTAGATTCAGTCCAGGGATTATTGCTAGTAAAGTGCAATTTTAAGCCTTTGTCTTGTTTGGCGTTCTGTAAGTATATTGCAAACCAACAGGGAATTTTAATGAAGATAAATTAATCAGAAAAATGTAGTTGAGCACATAATAAAATACAATATATGTAATAAAGTTGTAAATAGGGAGCCATCATGATGTATTGGTCTGAGTGTTGGACTATGACTCTGGAAACCAGGGT